GAATTCTTAATATATCGAAAAACGAGTACAGTGCAGGAAATATATAAGAATGTAAATATGTATATAATGTACATCTCATCACGTGTGTCTCGATAGGCCTAGTATAGAATAAAACTGCAGTTGTCGGGTCCATGCAAGGCGCTGACCCCAGAGCCTTACTACTGTTCTTGTGCTTGTTACTTTAAAAGCGTCCAGCGTCGCTAGTTTTGAACGGACGTGCAGGAAATTTTGTACACATAAACTAGAGGTGGTTTTCAACAAAAGTTCATTGCCCTTTTTAAAATTAAACCCCAGTGTTCCCCTACATCTACAAAAGAAAACAGGGGTTTCAGCAACGACTGTACATTACTGCATTACCACTAGTACAGCACGTCGCATGGATGTCGCTGTCGGTTAAGGATGTGTTCTGTAGAACTTAAAGTTGTGAGTTCGAATCTTTTTTTTTTCCAATTTTTAAGATATTTTAATTTTGTACAAATGAACATTCGAAATAATAATTTTTTTTGTACAAATAAATATTCTAATTATTTAAAAAATTCTATCTTATTAGCTCTTCAAAAATACCGAATACCTGTATATAACTTGCGCTTGTACCGTAGTTAAGCCTGGTGCTCACGATTAAGCCTGGTTCTCCAATTTTTAAGATATTTTAATTTTGTACAAAAATGAACATTCGAAATAATAATTTGTTTTGTACAAATAAATATTCTAATTATTTAAAAAATTCTATCTTATTAGCTCTTCAAAAAAAAACCAAATATAACTTGCGCTTGTACCGTATTTAAGCCTGGTTCTCACGAGAGACCTAGTATCCGGATCGGGAACTAGCCGTTAGCGCTGACCGTTAGCACCTGCGTGAGAACGCCCGATCGATTAGCGCTAACCGTTAGCAGTATCCGGATAAAGCTAACGGTTAGCAAGCACTATCGGTTAACAAGTGAGCACGTTTCTATCATCAACCAATCACACGTACGCATATACAATTGCCAATTTCTTATTGGCTAATGATTCGATCATCATTATTCTTGGTATCCGGATCGGGATTTTCTCGTATGAACGCACGGCAGCTAACGATCCTGCTAACTGTTCTAAATATAAATAAAATTACACATTAATAAATTAATTAAAATTATTTTACTTCATTTTAAGGAGTTCTTAGATTAATATTATTGAGTGTGGTTTGCAAAAACATGTGCCTACGTGAATATTGTTTAATTTTATTTTTATTCTTTCCATCCCACAAAAGTTTGGGATCCTGTTTATATCTGTTTTCAACTGATAATAAATAATAATCTGATTGGCATTTTCAATTTTTACTCGTGCAGTTGTTTCTAAGTGAACGATTATTAAAAGGTGTTTGTTAGATAAGTGTTTTACATGATCACAGTTATACAAATCCAACGATATCAGGTGTGATCCATTTCATTTTATTTAGCTTAAGTAAATAAATCTATTATACAAGATAATTGTTGGCATTGTTTATTGGTTAACCTGATAAAAACAATTTAATAAATATCGAATGTGCTTTTTCTTTTGGTCATAAGAAGTAAAAATACTTATATACTTATATTTTACAATGTGTTTTTTTTTATTATTTAATATATATATATATAATCTTTATTTCTATCTTATTATTTTATCAGAATGTTTTTCTTACAGAATTATAATAGTCATTAATTTGGAATTTAATACAATTTAGAAAATCTCTTTATATAGTTTTGTTCATTGTTTTGTCATATTATTGACATAAATGAAATAAATTTATTATTTTGATCCCTCCAACTGTATTACTCTGTTAATTATATTAATTTTCAATTAAAACCTTATTTTATAATGTACTTTTAAAATAATTTAATTAGGGAATATGACAGGTTTAGTGTTGTAAAATTGAAATTAAAATGTTTATTCTTAGTGCTGAACCAGGTCAAACGTTATTCTACAAAGCACTTACAATGGACATGAAATTCATGACTCACCATTCAGCAAAAGTAACGAGCACAAAACGAGAAACAACATTATGGCCACTTGTCCATTGGTTTGCCGAGATCTTCAGAGGTGCATTTTGAAAAATTTTTAAAAAAAAAAAAAAAAAAAAAAAAAAAAAAACGAATTAGAAGGAATGCAACATTAATATTTAAATGTTTATTAATGTTTATTACAAACATTATTTGTAAATTTAATTCTAGAATAATAATAGTCTAAAGCCAAAAAAATATTAATGTTATTACTATTATTATTATCACTTCTTAAATTCCAACATTAGGTCAAATACTGAAATTTTAATGTTAATCATTAATGTAATTATTTTAAGAACAAGAATTATATAAATGGATTTTATTTTAGTATTGCTTGTACATTATCTTCTTGCGTTTTAGATGTATCCATCGTGTAACTAAAATATTTTACGGTTTGGCCAGCCATACCAAGGCTTTTTTCCTGCCTATGTTGACTGTAAAATATGGCCGGCGTGGGGGGGGGGGGGAATAAATTGAACCTGGAAATTCGCCCACACAATTCGGAATATAAAGGCTGTTTTCTGCGATGTTTTTGTTGAAAATCATATATTGGCCCAAGGGTATTATAGTGATTTTGTGCACCTACTTTTCTATCGATTTTTTATGCATATTTGAGCTAGTTTTTTATTTTATCCACGCAATTCCTATTACTGTTAGTTAAGATATGAACTTTTCGAACTGGGTATAGTCACTTTACAGACTGGTTCATGCTAATGTGATTGCCATGACAGAGAATACAAAGTTTGTTGGTTCATGAATGCAATAATAGGTGGATATGCAAATTGAGATTGCTTTATGTAGGTATTTGTTGTTATGCGTTTTTCAATATTAACTCCTTGTGTATATATACTGTCTCTTATACACATCTAGATGTGTATAAGAGACAGTATATATATAGGCCTATATAAATTCAATTTCTTTACAATTTTATTTTTTTTCCAATTTTAAGATATTTTAATTTTGTACAAATGATTTAAATAATAATTTGTTCTATACAAATAAGCATTCTAATTATTAAAAAATTTCTATCTTATTACTCTTCCAAAAAAAACAAACCAATATAATAATGTACCGTACCGTATTTAAGCGTGGAGGAACGCTCGGACAGGTGAGCGGTCGCTCTTGTTAAAATAAACATCTCACACTTAATTTAAGACATACATTTATTTAACGGCAGCAGCGGCGCGTTTTGCAACCCACGGATCGTTCTAAGTATAAATAATATTACACATTAATAAATTAATTAAAATTATTTTACTTTATTCTAAAGAGTTCTTAGATTTATATTATTTAGTGTGATTTGCAAAAACATGTGCCTACCATCAAATATACAGATGTCATTACACAACAAATCTTTAGCTCTATTATGTTGTTATTGTTGTACTTGTTTACATTTTCACTCAGCCGGATGTTCTGGTTTATATCGCCATTGCATTATAGCCCAATTTTCAGATTTCCTATGTTGTAGAATAGTGAATAAAAAGGACTCTCCACAAACCAATTTTAGAGCAGAGTCTCTGGTCTAAAAAATGGAGGCCTGAATAACAACACAACAATGGATGCCGAAATTAAATCTAACGCCATGTAGGTTTGCAGGCTTGTACAACTACAGTATGGAATAGAGCACGCTTTACTTACCTATATGTTAGATGGATATGGCGCTATATAAAACTACAATATTATTATTATTATTATGTACGTTTTCCAATCTTAGAAGAAACACCGTTCCGATATTCAGTATTTTAGACGATGTGTTTGGCGACGACGTGTCTACGATATACAATAGTTCACATACAAGCTTGCTTTCATCGTAATTTAGATGTTATCAGACAGGTGCATACCACCAGGTACCTGAAAGAAACTTCCTACCAGGGTACTAACCTTGACATGATTAGTTCAGCGACCACCCCTGAATAGCGCCTCCTTTCATATTGGTCTAGCCATTAGAGACGAAAACTCACCACCAGTCTCACTTCGGCCCCTCCCCGAGCCCCACTCGGACAGTAGGCCTAATGCAGTGACGACGACAGACTTCAGATGAAGATAACATTAACATTTCATATATTATTTTTCTACCTTTAATTTTGTAATATTAATTTTTATACAGTCGATTGTTATTTATTTTTGTTTGTTAAATTTTACCCTTTTTTTTGTTTGTACGAACGCACCAATTGATATTGAGTGCCACCGATTCAAAGGTGTATGTTCAAATAAATAAATATATTAATTAACAGAGGAAAACAATTACAGAATGTTGACTCATAAATACCGGGATTGTGCATTGCGGGGGATAGTTGTTACCATGTAGTTTGTAATTAATAGTCTGACACTCAATAAATAGGAGGGAATTGCAAACACCAGGAGAGACTACACCCATTTCCCACATGTGGCTGAGAAGAAAAAATACGATTAGCAACTCTAAATGTTACCTTGGGCCAGGGCTGAAATGAAAAAAAAATGTAGGTTTGAGACAACTCTATTATCAGTTAATCTGAGAGATTTGAAATGCGTGAGTGACTACACCAGTTGGCTGGGGGAGGGGATGGGTCCAGGGGTGGCCGCGGTGCTCCAACGATCTGAGCATTTTAAGCTCTTTTAAAACGATTTCAGAGAGTGTTTGTTGATAATACAGGTACATAAGCACCCCAACTATGTAGACATACAAATATTTCTTTACTGATCAACTTTTTAACGCGTCAGTGAAATAAGTATTCATGTAAATACTGTACTCTCTAATTACTCAAGTTACTGCATGACCGTTTTTTATATTTTTAGTAAAACTAATTTCTTCTAATTTTAAATACATTTTCCCCTGAATTCGTGATAATTCGTTATCACACATATACTTGTGCTAAATGGGTGACAAATTTAGGATCACGCATGAGTTTCTGCAAAATACGTGTTTCATCCAAAATCACTTTGAAATGCTGGACCGTCCCGCACGATGCGAGACGGTTGGTAACTATGTTATTAGAATCAGATTTTTTTTCTTCTTAGTTACAGCTAATAGAGTTAAAATATAATACGTTAAAACGCCACTGATGTAGCGGTCATCGTACAATGAAATTTGATTACCTCTGTTTCCGTTCTGCTCACTGTATTTGATGTTTTCAGTATTCGTGTTAATGCTCATTTAAAAATTATCCACCAAATTATTTTACTACCACAGGAAAAGGTATAATATAATAGTACACAATAATTGAAAACAACGACATTTATTATTTTATTACTGTAGGCCTAATTGCGAATAGTACAGTAAAGGGCTAATTTGGTTTTAACTATATTGTTGCCATACCAACTAATAATTCTTAAATATACATAACTTTAGAAAGTGTTTCGTTTGTTCGTTGTTTTAACCATAGGGGAATTATAGGCATATATTTCATATTTCTAAATCATTATTTTTTTCAAAGGATGACAAGTTTTTAAT